GTTTGTTTGTTTGTTTGTTTATGAATTTCGCGCAATGCTACACGAGGGCTATCTGCGCTAGCCGTCCCTAATTTAGCAGTGTAAGACTAGAGGGAAGGCAGCTAGTCATCACCACCCACCGCCAACTTTTGGGCTACTCTTTTACCAACGAATAGTTGGATTGACCGTCACATTATAACGCCCCCACGGCTGAAAGGGCGAGCATGTTTGGTGTGACGGGGATTCGAACCCGCGACCCTCGGATTGTGAGTCGAGCGACCTAACCACCTGGCCATGCCGGGCCTTCCCGCTTATATGAAGAGGTACTTTCTCGCGCTTTATACGCATCCATGTTGGGATAATATATAATATTAGCTAAATCAGGTATCCAAAGATTCATTTCATAGGAGGTTATAGAAAAGAGGATGAGAACTTATAACATCGAATGCAAAATAAATATGACAACCATTTATTATAAAAACATAAAAGTTTCTGACTAACTTTTCTGAAAATAACATTTAAAACTCAAAAACAAATTAGAGTAATTCATGAAAATCCAGTTTAAAATGTTCGATCGTTGTTTCATGACTCATTACGTTAAGTGCAATTATCACTCTTAATGACGTATCAGTGTTGTCTATCAGTCTCCTCTATAAAACTTTCATGTCAGGAAACACAAAACAGAAGGATTTCTAAGTGTTCTTGAATCATTAAAAATTAAATTAAAGTTATGTACAGAGACAGTCGTAGTTATATCGTGCGCTATCTTAGAAATGTTTTATTATTATTATTTAATGTACAACCTTACAACCCTATTCCCTTGCAAATAAATGTAATTTAATTCCTCTCTCTAGACTGAAGTTAATCTCTTCTATCCAGTGGCACAGCGGTATGTCTGCGAACTTACAACGCTAGAAACCGGGTTTCGATACCCGTGGTGATCAGAGCACATATAGCCCATTGTGTTGTTTTGGGCTTAACTTCAAACAAACCCAAACCTATCCAAATTTGTTATTCCATTAATTCTGTGTACAACAGACTGGCCTGTGGTTGAGCTCTGGATTTCGGAGCTGGATAGCAGCAATCGAATTCGTGTGAAACCATTCATTAGTTCCTGCACTTTAAATGGCAGTTAAACGTGGATGATAAGATGCTGTTCAACTGGCTGCCTTCCCTGTCGGCAGTAGTTCAAAACTAGAGAAGATAGCCTTAGTAGCATTACCGAAAGTACACAATTACAGAAGAGGGATTAAGCTTGATAAATTGTTTAATTAATTTAGGCATCTAGCTAAAATGATTGTCATTTAATGAGTCCCATTTTCGAGTCAAATTGAGTAGACTGTAGAAAGTTGACAGAACAATTATGAAACCGTTTTCGGGTCTTTAAGAAAGACGACGTAGACAAAAGCTAGTTACTTTAGATGTTTTTAAAGGCTGATAATACCTGTATCCGCTCCATATTCGGTTAGTAGAAATGATAAAAAACGTATTCTGAATATTATAATTTATTTGTTGAATTTCGCACAAATCTGCGCTAGCCGTCCTAAATTTTAAAGGGAATTTAGAGAGAAGACAACCAGTTAACACCACCTACCGCCAGCTCTTGTCAGATCAAACAAAGGAATTTAACCGTCATTCTTATAATGCCTTATGTGCAGAGCGCGATTATATTTTTTGGGGGTAACGGGTCGCGGATCTTTAGATTCGCTGTCCTGAATGTTAACCACTGGGCCACAGTCGGCCCTTCAAATTAAGGGGAACGCTAACATAGAAATTTGTAATTAAAGAAACTGACACTAGGTTTTTTGGTCAATTGTTAAGCTCTACAAAATTGAGTAAATAGCCAAATATAACAGTCCATTTATGGCCTCTTTTGGCTACACGGTGGCTATTTGCGCTCTGCCTCCCGCGGGGAATCGAGCCTCGGATTTTTGAGTTGTAAATGGCCAATGGACCCTCATATGCAAGATTGAAAATTAACGTTTAATTTATAATCATCAACATAAATGAATACTTTCTTAATTGGTATTTAATTCCAAATTAAATGTAACGAGAGTTAATGATACTTAGAATTTCTCTGGACGTGTAAGTACTGTAGTATCATATCGTGTGTTTTTTGTCAATGTAACCTAAAATAGATAAGAAATTAAAATACTTATCATCTCTGTTGGAAAATGTTTCAAATCTGAAGTTTGCAGTTATTCTGTCTTTTTATATGATATAGAAATAAAAAAATTAAAAGATCAAACACTTCGTGAATACAAGTAAATAGACGACGACTAAATCATGAAAATTCGTTTCCACTCTCGAAAGTAAGACATGAAATATTGTTTAATAATAATTCATTACAATACAGGAGCATGATAACTCATTGTAATACAAGGAACATGATAACTCATTGTAATACAGGAGCATGATAACTCATTGTAATACAAGGAACATGATAACTCATTGTAATACATGAACATGATAACTCATTGTAATACAGGAGCATGATAACTCATTGTAATACATGAACATGATAACTCATTGTAATACAGGAACATTATAATTCATTGTACTACAGGAACATTATAATTCATTGTAATACAGGAACATGATAACTCATTGTAATACAGGAACATGATAATTCATTGTAATACAGGAACATTGTAATTCATTGTAATACAGGAACATTATAATTCATTGTAATACAGGAATATGATAACTCATTGTAATACAGGAACACGTTGTCGTGATCATATACAATAATATTATGTATAATTATGTCATGCACAGTAAAATTATTTCAAATTAACTAATGCACAATAGGATTATGAATAATTGGAATAAAGAAAAGCTATCA